TTCAAGCTCAATTTCGACGGATTTTAACTGTAAACTGAACTAAAAATTATTCCAAAGGATTAGTAAACTCACCCAAACTCAGTTGAAGGCAAATGAGGGTTGAATCCTCACCGGATTCAACAGAAATTCATCAGGTTCCCTCGTCGGCTTTTGGAAATAAGCACAGAGAGCATGCATGGTTAAAACCTTGGGTTTTCCAACTTAAAACCCACATGCAGATAGAGAAATGTTTACCTAGGATTGGTTCTAGTTGGATTCGAGCACCACCAGTCCCAAACTCGATGAAGTTTAGTCGAAGATTGCACAAGGAATTGCAGGGGTTAAACCCCTTGATTTTAAGCTCAATTCAACCATAGATTATCACAAAATCACGCAACATTCACAGATTTAAGGGTTTTTAATCGAGAATCTCACCTAGGTTCGAAGTAGAGCTCAAAGCTCAGATTCAATGGCAGAGCACCTCACGGTGCTTCGATGGTACATACAAGACCACCACTAGTTTCCTTGCATTCCATAGGTCACGAATATGGAGGTTTGAGGTTTGATTTGAAGGAAAAAGGTTGAAGGTGGTGATGGTTCGTCTCAGTGACAGAGAGGGAATAGGAGTTAGAGAGAAAGTGAGAGTTGCAGATATGAGTGAATGGGAAAGAGAAGGTTGGGTTAATCCCACTTCATAATTTTCTCTATTGGAAATTACTAAAATGCTCTCGATCAAATTTTGTTTAGTCAAGCCCTCAATCAATTAAATTGTGTATCTTAACTATCGTAATTCAAATTCTATTTCCATATTCGCCTACACAATTGTGAGTACAAAAACAATTTAAAAAACTAAGAAAATATGAGAGATTGAGATTTAAACTTGAGGTTCAAAAATTACTTAATACACCCAACTGGGGACATCTTGATCATTTTACATGGTTCGAGAATAAAATATAATATTTTAAGGTGTAATAGTATAATTACGAGTAAATTGAAGGAATGATCACTGAACTATGGTTGAATTGTAGTTTTAGTCCCTGAGCTAAAAATCCATTAAATTTGATCCTTAAACTTGATAAAATGTGGAGCATTGGTCCTTTGATGTCAATTTTGTTAGATTTTCCATTAGAGTGTATGAGTGGTTGGTTTATGGGCCCCACACTTAAATAATTCAGTGCTATCTGGATTAGAAATATTAAAATAAAATAAAAGTTAGGAAAGATAAAATTAAAAAAAAAAAAAAATCTATAGACCCACTCGCACTTCACCAACTCTTGTAGTCCACCCCTTTAACTTTGAGTCTTTGACCAACTCCCTAGCCTACCTCCCACCTCCATCTCCCAATCCCCACAGCCTAGTCAATCCCCAACCCGTAGCCCACAAAGTTCCGACCTATGTACGGTGAGGGTTTCAATTGTAGGTGGTGGGGAACTAGAGATTGAGTTGTCAAGGCAGCGTGGACTAAGGTGCTACAGGATGGAGGTCATTGTGTGAAGTCGTTCGGAAAGGAAGATTGTGTTCTAAATTTAACAATGTTCTAAAAAAGGGCCTAGGCAGGCGCTGGGCGGTGGTGAGCCGAGGCGTTTTTTTGCAAATCAATGGGAAAAATCGGATGGGCTCTAGGCGGGGTTAGGCGGTGCTAAGTGGAGCTAGGCGGTTTTTTCTTTTATTTTTTATAATGAAATTAAAAAATAAAATAAAAAATCCTATCTAAGTCTAAGTGGTTTAAAATTGTGAACTTGTTGTACATGTGTCATCCTACAATTCTTCTCACTATGGTTATATGACATATATGCTTAATGTGTTTTTAAATTTTGGACTTGTTGGATACTCTCTTTGCATTTTATCATTCTTTTATTATCTTATCCATAGATTTTATACAAATATAATTTTTTGTAAGTGTCAATACGCACTTATTTACAAGATATACAAAAAATTTACTTAAATCCGCTTAGGCGCCCTTCTAGACCGCCCTAGCCGCCTAAGCGCTAAGCGCCAGCTCGCCGCCCGACTAGCGCCTAGTGTTTTTTAGAACCTTGAAATTTAGATTGGAACTTTTCTATGGTTAGGTTATTGGGAGAGTGCTACAATGGCGGCTGGGTTTGAAGAAGGAGGTGGATGCAAGGAAGATGGGAGAGAGAAAATTAAACCATTTTTATTTTATGTATTCTCCAAAAACATGGTAATGTTTTAATGTCATATTTGATCATGGTCTCACTCACCAAACTCTCATTCAATTTGTCATTTTAATTTCAAGATAAAAGATCAATCTTTCCAACAACATTGCCAAAAATCTCAAATTCTATACACATTTAGCAATAATTAATTGTCGTTTGCTTTACTACTATATTTAATCTTTACTTTGAATCCAACCCCCCGCAATAATGACTCAAAAATCATCCGTCACGCACCATTAGACCAATAACAAGAAATTATTATTTTTTATTTTATGTTCTTCCAATCTAATGGACCGTTTGCCAACTACAAAATAGCAACAAATTAAATTAAAAAATTAAACACAAAAAATGTAGAATTATGTACCAATAATTCATGTCAAGGGAGCATATTCTTATAAAATTCAAAAAACCATCTAATCTAAAGCCCAAAAGTCAAATTAGAAGCCGAATGTCCTTTATTTTTTCACCACCAGCTAAATTTGTTCTATCAATATATTAAATAAAACATTACTAAAAATCCTTAACAATAAACTTTCGCGTGCAATTTAATTTAAATTTTTACAATTTTAATCAATTGAAGGATAGTTCCTCAATTTCGTCAAAAATTCAGTAAAATTGCATGAGATGTGTTCTACATCCGATGTATGACGTTAATGGCTAAAGCTTGAATTTAATAACTAAAGCCCAATTTACCCAACACTAGCCTTTTGCCACACGCGTGCGTCAATTTACTATTTTACATGTTATTTTTATTGTAGTTTTATTCTTTTTATTTTTGTTTGAAATATTTTATCTATTTTTATTTTTAAAAATTAAAGGAATAAACTGTCCACTAAATTTTGATATCATAACTAAGAATGGATATTTTTTTGAGATTATGAATGATTCATTTTTTTTACTTCTAGCTTTTATTTACCTAACATATACCACCTCACGTGATATTTTTATTAAAAAACATTTGACGAATTCCATAAATACCTCCGTAAGTCCTTTTGACCTTCGGAACGATGAACTATTATGGTGGAAGCCTTTTGGTTCTTCTTTTTAAGAAGAAAAAAACTACAACAATTAAAACCCCATAGGCTTATAGGGGTGTGTTTGTTTGGGCTCACTAACTTTCCTTGGACTAGACTGTACTAGCTATTATTGTGGTCCCATGTTTGTTAGGCTGAAGGATTAGGTTTAATGGGATTAAGTCGGACTCGCTCCGACTGACTCCCTCACTAAAAGTTCTTAGCCAAACCCCCCAAATATCCCAGAACTGCTAAGACCCCGCGCTGCTTCGTATGAGTCGTCCAAACCTTGTGCCTCGTTCCAACTTACAAGATCTCAATCCTCGAAAGTAAGGATTTTTTTCATCTAGGTTCATGGATTTGGGGTCTTCCACCATCTGGGTCTTTTGGTATTTCAAATTCACACATACATATATCGTTATCTCTCAGAAATGCCCTTAATTTTCACTTACCAACCACCCCGCTTCCACTAATTCTTCCCCCACCAATCGCGTTCCGTCGCTGGAATTCAATTTTCGACTCTCATTTTCAGCGGACCATGATTTGAATCTGGCATGCTAGACAAGGTGAGCAATTATTTGGAATTGGGGATTTTGAAAGGTGTTTGGTTGGTGAGAAAATTGAAAGAGAAAACAAAAGAAAATGGAATGGCAATTAGTAAGAACTGGGGAATTGCATGAAAGGAAATGAGATTTTGAAAGGTGTTTCGTTGGTTGATTTTTTGCAAACGGGATTCCATGAAAGCAACAGATCTTTAGGCCAAGCTTGCTGAAGGAAACAATCAAGAGACAGAGAGGATTGAGACGGATGGAGAAAAAAGGGGAAGTGGTGAGGCAGAGAAGACAAAGCATTCTAAAAAAAGGGTTTCTAGAAGAAAAAAAGAGGAAGAATAAATATTCTAGATATGCCTTAAAATAATATAATTTTTGAGTTTTGTTAATTATCCTGCATTTTAGCCCGATACTACACCAAACGCTTCACTAAGCTAGTCCAGCTTAGTTTAGTCTAAGCCAGTCCAGCTTAATCCCTAATACTAGTTCAGTTCGAAACAGTCCGGTGCAACAAACGCAAAGTTGAACTTCACCCAAAATACATGGACTAAAATTCAAATTGGTCCCTTGGAATTTCACTAAAATGACGAAAAAACCCTTATACTGACTGGTACTTGGGGTAGAATTTACTGTTATCCGGAGTAGTCAAAAATGAAGGCCTCCAATTAAAATTATTCAACACAATTGATCGCCTGCCCGTCCACCTGAACTCCAGTCGTGACCCGCCACTTGTCCACTTATTACCTATGGGAATGATCTGTGATCATCATCATCACCATCATCATTATGATGGGCGGATGCGCATGCATGTATGTACGCATGACAGACGATCAAACAAAGAGACCGTGCAGTTGGGTTGGGGGGAGAGAGAGAGAGAGAGAGAGAGAGCAGAATCTGAGTTGAAGAGCCATCGCCATTCCTAGGACGATGTCGTATTGGAAGTGAAGACGATCTTCACAACAGAGAGAGAGAGAGGTTGGATCCAAATCCAATCCGAAAAGGAACTCCTTTTTCGGTTCGACTCTCCTTCTTCACTGATAAAAACAACAACAACGCAGGGAGAAAAAACAAAAAACCCCAAAAATCACTACCCGAATTTTCGAATCATTTTTGTAATTTCCGGGTTGTTTTTAAAAATTATTTTCATTTCGTTTTCTCCGTAGTGATCTCGAGGCGCGATTGTTCTTAGGCTTTCTCTGTCTGTTGATCGACCCATCGAAGAGTTAATTTTTAATTAATTATTTAAAACAATCAATTCAGAAGAAGGGAAGAGAGAGAGAGAGAGGAAGAGGGGAGAGAGAGAGCTATGGCAGTGGTTGAGAATGCAGGGGTGGAGCTTGGGAAGAGCGTGGGGTCGAACACGGCGAATCGGAACCCGGAGACTTCGACGACGCCCGAGGACGGCGGTGTTGTTGCCGCATCGAATGATCAGGATCTGTCCAAGCTCAGCAACGCCGGCGCCCCTTTACGGCACCGCATCGATCAGAGCATGTACGTGATGGTCACCCCGCCCCCCAACGGCAACATCAACGGCAACGGCCAGGTGGCGGCGGCTCAGCGGGGGAGCTTTGATCACGTGGCGAATCATCACCATCAGCAGCAGAGATCTAACGGCGGAGATTTTCAGATGAGTAATGGGGATCATCATCACGACGTAGACCGGGACATGAGGGAGCTGAGGGAGCTCTTCTCGAAGCTCAACCCCATGGCGGAGGAGTTCGTGCCGCCGTCACTGGCTAACGGCCATGGACTCAATGCTGGGTTTGTTAACATGGCACTGATGATGCAGAACGGGAACAGAAATGTACAAGCTAATGGCTTTCCTGGTCGACGGGTATGTATTAGACTTGAGCTTTTCAGGGTTCCTTTCCTTTTTTATTGTTTGTTTGGTTGCTGAGAAAATGAATGGGAAAATTCTGTATTGTTTGGTATTTTTGTGTTGGTTTAGTTTTTGGAGAAGAATTAGGGGACAAAATTTAATGGGTGCTTCTATTTTTTCTATTCTGTTTGTTTTTTTTTTTTTTAATCAGAGAAACAATCAAGGGAAACGGAGAATCAATAGCAGGACTAGTCAAGCGCAACGAGAAGATAGAATCCGAAGGACTGTGTACGTGTCTGACATTGATCAACAGGTACAAATGATGCCATTTATCTCCTTTGAATTTTTATTAGCATTTTGGTGCGAGACTAAAAGTTGTATTTTTGGGACATAGGTCACTGAGGAACAGCTTGCAGCTCTCTTTGTTACTTGTGGGCAGGTAATGATCTTCGTTAAGAGGTATGTGATTAGTTAATTGTAAATTCTGGTTTTGAATAATTTCTCTTTTCTGTTGATGAAGGTTGTTGACTGCCGAATTTGCGGTGATCCTAACTCTGTTCTCCGTTTTGCCTTTATCGAGTTCACTGACGAAGGTAATGTAGATGGTGTATGCTGAAATTATGTGGCTGTATAAGCTTGAATGGTTATTTTTCTGTGGTTATGATATGTGATTGTTACTGATTGATTGATCGGCTGGTGGGTTTTCATTATGCAGATGGTGCACGAGCTGCTTTGAGTCTCGCCGGGACAATGCTTGGATTCTACCCTGTTAGGGTGCTGCCCTCAAAGACAGCTATTGCACCGGTTAACCCCACATTCTTGCCTAGGGTGAGTCTACCTCTTTTGTGACAGTTGCAAAATTCTGAACTGAAGGAAGTTTTAGCCGTTTGGAATCTATAATTTCTTGGATAATAACTTGTTTATCCATTTGTATTTATGTTTCAGACTGAAGACGAACGTGAGATGTGTGCAAGAACTATCTATTGTACAAATATTGACAAAAAGGTAATTTTTTTTAATGGTTTGTCATTGATGTGGCTGAAGTTGTGATTTCAGAAACGGCTGTTTTTTGGATTGATTTGTGCAGGTTACTCAAGCTGATGTCAAACTCTTTTTTGAATCTGTCTGTGGAGAGGTTTGTGATTTCACTGGAAGTTTGTATTTTACATTTCATGGCATGGCAACAATGCTATTATGTCGTGTCCACTCCAATGTCTTGGACTATTTATGAGGTTACCTCTTCTAAATCTGATGCAGGTTTATCGTTTGAGGCTGCTAGGGGACTATCACCACTCTACTCGCATTGCCTTTGTTGAGTTTGTGATGGTAATTACTTCTTCCTCTATACTCTGCATGCTGTTTTATTATTTTCCTATATCGTTATTTGGTTTCGCTGTTAAGCCATGATGACAAACTAGGTATATGCATGAAACTCCCTTGTTTTTCGAAATTAGTATTCAACCTTCGAATGCCTCTTTGATTTTCCCTTTACAAGTGTGACTAATGTGTCTCATGATGCAATGCATTTGCTACTTTAAGAAGGCATTTGCTATGAAAAGGGATAAGATGAATGCTTAGATGAATGGGGCTGCGGAACTCTGATAGAGGGATAAAATTCTTTGAAAATCTGTGTTAAGCCTTTAAAGTCCATTCGTCTCTATCCTTTCTGTCATGAAGTGATTGGATAGGATATTTTTAGGGCTTTAGTTTCTCAAAGGCAATTGTATGGTTCATTCATGGTTAGTTGTAGATTGCCAACAATAGTTGACAAATCCCAAGAACTTAAGCCTTATTGGCCTTAATGCTTTTTGGAACAGTGAAAGCAGATTTTATCATGATATCAGTGAGTTAGATACTGAATTTGAAATTTCTTGCAAAGGCTACGTTCTAATAAAGTTAAAATTTACCAGGGTCATCTAGTGGTTGAGACAGGCCACAAATGGGACGTAGAAGTTTAGACTAAAAATATTAATACATTTTAATAATTAAGTTTTCGGGTACTGTGGAGACTAACAAAAGTTTTCAGTTAGGAATTAATATATCTTGGCTTTTCTATATGCCTGGGCATAAAGGGAGATGAATCATGCTAAAAGTGGAAGTGAATTTATTAGATCCGTTTTTTTTTTGGGGGCTGAGAATTTATGGGATCTTGATTTTATTCGAATTGGTCAGACTTGAAATCAGAAACGTCATGTGAGAAACTGCCAGAAGTTTCAAACAGAAAGATTGTCTGAGGAGTGGTTGTCAAGGCCATGTCTCATCTCCTGAGCTTGTATCTTTGTGTCTGAGGTGGTCACTTATTAAGCATGGCTCCTTCTCCTTCCGTGTTTTTTAAACCCCCTTTTTGGTTTTGATAAGGATATCTTACTTTCCTTCTTGCTTTTACTTTCCTTTTTGGCCATAGTTATACAACGTTGTTCTTGCATGCCTCTTCAGCCCATGAGTTTAATATGGAATAAGCTTAGTTTTGCAGTACCTATCTTGTGATATCGCAGATAGTGTCTTGGAGGGAAGATTTTTTAAGGTCTTATCAATTTACTTATGTTTCTTTTTCTTAGAGATTAAATTTCTTAGTGTCTTGGAGTTGAAACGTACTATAATAATCAAGTGTGAACCTTGGTTCCTGCTTAAGAGAGTATATTTGGAGAGTGGCAGTGTTTCCAGCGTCTTCTTTTTGTTGGCTTCTGATTTCAGCCAACGGACCTGGCGAAGATGTAAACAGCTAGTTCAAGTTGGATTTAATGTCCAACTCTGATGTTGAAATGCGTAATGCCTTTCAGCTCCACTGTATGAAACAAGGAATCCCTGGTTTCTGTGTCTCTTCTGTAAAAATCTTTGTCAGGTGATGCTAGACTTAATGGTAACTTTGTTGGGACGGAAGATATAGGGTGGGAGGAATTGTGTTGCTCTAAGTGTTGTTAATATTTTGCATTAGAATATTTAGTGGCTATAAAATTTGGCGACATGAGAAAATGCGATGACCTGGAAACATGCATTTCTTAGGCACACTACCTGATTTGTATAACAACAGATAAGTACAAGTAGAGTTGAAAGATTTGTCAAGTGGCTCGGATCATGTATGTAATCCAAAGCATGCATGTTCTACACAAAGCCTGCCAAGATATGTCTTTGATGAAGTTGGATTGCAAAATGTGTTCGGTTATACTTGATATCTACCTGCACATTAAAAATAGACCTCCAGATTGATTGCTGCAATTCATAAAAGTTTAATCGGAATGTACTTCCATCCTGCAGGCTGAAAGTGCAATCGCTGCTCTCAACTGTAGTGGTGTGGTTTTGGGATCATTGCCAATCAGGTTAGACTGCATGCTGTTTCATTTATCTTCCGACTGGAGTAATCTTTGTTTTTCCCACCCCTTTAAGTGACATAATTTTGAGATAGGCTTCATTTTGGTATATTAATTTATGGCGTCTTGTACAAGCAGGGTAAGTCCATCAAAGACACCTGTTCGTCCGCGCGCTCCTCGCCTTCCAATACATTGAGTCATCTTCGGCATCCCAGACTGAATTACGGTTCCAGCTGAAATATATTTAAATACACATACAACTATGTAAAGATGTTCTCTGTGCCTCTCTGGGCGTTGCGTTTTGTGTTTACTTGCCCTCGGCTTTGATGGCCTTGGATCTTTTGTTCTCGTTAGAGTTTATTATGATGTTCTGGAATATAGAGTCGAACAAAAGGACCTTGAGGCGTAAAAGATGACACATGAAGACCCCCTTTTTAACAGCCTTTTGTAAGTTAAATGGAAATGTGGTTCATTTGTTAACTGGTGGTTGCCTGGATTGGATGTGCTCATATTTTATGGATTACCTCTCGATGTTTCATGCATACACGCGTGTTTGCGCTTGCTAGCTTGCGAACGCACACGAGGCACGCCCGAACTGCTGCATCTTATTGGATGTGTTGAAGAACGAGGATTCTACCTCATATGTTCTGTCTTGAGATAACATAAACAATGCTTCTTTTTTGGTCTTAAAACACTTAGTTTTTATGAATTGTATTACCTTACTGTTCTTTGTATGCAACGGGGTGGACTGAAGTGTAGTTGGAGAGGCAGAGTGGTCTCATGTGCTCACTGTATATGGGATTTACTAAATTCATCAATGAAGATTTTAGAGGAAATTGTAGCAATGATTCCTCAACTTTAACCCAAATGCAGTAATGATTCATCAACTAAAAATTCATGATTATTGGTCATTTAACTCGTCAAAACGTGTAGTTATGATCCATTTGGTGAACTTTGTTAGAACTAGGGGTGGGCATAGGTCGGGCCGGGTCCAAATTTGGAGGAATCGGATTGGACCCGTTAGATAATGCAACGGGGCAGGGTGGGGTGGGGCTGATAGTCATATTTTCAAAACGGGAACTAGACATAACTCAGAAATGGGCCGGTTCCTACGAGTCATACGGTTCCCCGTGTCAAGCTTTTCTGCAATTCGGTATATATAGATGCACACAATCTGCTTCCTAGAAGAAATCCAACAATTTTCAAGGATTTCTCATGCCCCAACCCAAATCCCCAAATAGAACAAATTAATAAAAACAAAAAATCTTCAAATACAATTTCGAATTCATCAAAAAATACAATAAAACCGAATCCCTGATTAAGCTAAATCCCTAACATTTTAATGAAATTTTCAAGCAAATTAACTGAATCCCTAATTCCTAATTTCCCGAATTCGAATTTAGAATAAAACTGAAATTAGATGCTATAAAGAAGAGAAGTAAGAGCCTATGAGGTGGTGAGGTCAAAGGTTCGGTGGAGTACTGAAATTTGAAGCAGCAGAAGGAGGAGAAGAAGAAAACGGTGGTCGAGGACTTACATAAGGAGAAAAGGCAAACGCCGACGAACGCACGAAGCAACAAACGGCAAGATTTGACAATCTAGGGACTTTAGCTAGAGCTCGAGGGCAGCACATCTGCTAGTGCATTCGTCGTCGGAGACTCAAGTTGGGAATTTGTGAGAGGAGAGTCAAATTGGAGTTTGAGTCTTCCAAAAGGAGAAGAGAGTCAGGTCAGCGACTAGATAGAACGATGCAGAATGCAGTAATGAATTATGGAAGGGGGAAATGGGCCGGGTCGAGGACCCTTTTTTCAGAGATTTAGGATCCGCCCCTCCCCGCCCCATTTTGAGTTTACAAAATTTGTACCCGCTCTATATCTGCCCCAAACCGGCTGAACCCGCCTCGCCCCACGGGTCCTAGACCCGTTTGCCCAACCCTAGTTAGAACTTTTGTCAAAATGAGTCATGTGCCATGCACTTGAGGCTGAATCAAGGGGAAGGTATGGAAAACCAAATGAGAAAATTGTAGCAATGGTCCCTCAACTTTAATTCAATTAGAGCAATAGTCCGTCAACTTTAATCTAATTGTAGCAATAGTCCTTCCAACATGACTTATTTTGACGGAATTCTGACAGAATTGATGAAAAGGACCATATCTACATATTTTGATGAGCCAATGGTCAATGATTTTTTGTTGAGGGACTATTGCTCCAATTATGTTAAAGTTAAGAGACCATTGCTATAATTTCCTCGAGATTATATTGGCACATGAAAAGTTATTTTTGCACACAATATTTTTCGTTTCATGCATGTTTATTTTTTTAACTCTGTATTTTTTGACATATTTCTTATATTTTTTTTTGAGCAATCGATATTATCTACACTAAGGGGACGGGGGAGTGGGCTTAGCCTTGCATTAGACTAGCAATAATTAGTTCAAATTTTCCTTTAACGATAATTAAATCTAAAAACTCTTACTTACAAGTGAGAGGAATATCATAGATCTAGTACTAAGTGGCACAAATAAATAGTTAAAAGATAATCAAAAGGCACAAGTATATAGTGTGTAGAAGAGTCGTACAAATACCCAAAAGATAATCAACGTTGTCCTACAAAACGACGAAGATGCCATTAATGAAGTTTCGGATTTAAGTTTCTTTAGTGGAACAAAACATGATATTTTTTAGCTTTGTAGAGTTGTAAACATAAAACACTCCTAGGAATAAAGCCATAACTTTTGAAAAACAATACCTGAGCCATATCAACATCTCCAATTCTTGTTATGTAATATATGAATGCAAACCTCACTCTCTTAACACTTGGATGCAACATATGTATATAAACACCACTCTTTGGTACATATTTTCAAGAGTTTCTACATCTTCAACAATGGTTCAAACCCCGTTGCAACGCGCTGGTATACTAGCTAGTTATTAACTAAATGAATCACATTTTGTAACAAGATTAAAAATCTTTGAGAAAGAAGTTTATATATATATATATATATTACACATCTATTTTCACTTCTCACACACCTCTCTTAATTCAGTCGTTAGATCAAATGAATTGAAAAAGATCAACGACCAAAAATTAACAAGGGTATATAAGAGGTAAAAATAGATGTGCGAATAGCACTTTCCTTGATATATTTTAGTCAGCGGAGGAAGGGCTTAGCCTCATAATGAGCTACCAATAATGTGGTTCAGATTCGCCTTTGACAAGAATCGAACCTATGACCTCACTTACAAATGAAGAAGAATATCATTAGACCGTAATACTAAGTGATGGCTGATATTAAATTTGATGCTCATATTTTAAGACAATTTATAAGCTTATATAATAATTATTTCGTTTTTGATTACTAATTTCATTTTATGTGTGTTTATCTGCGTGAAATTCACAATAAAATGTATCAAAGATAAAATCTGAGAGACAAACTTTTGTTGATACATTTTGGACTCCATATGTAAATATATATATCATCACATTCCAAGCGGCAAAGTGGACTCCACAACATTATTCAAAGTAGACAAAAAGGATATTGAAGTAGAACATTTAAGACTCTGCACACACACAAAATTAAAAAAAAAAAAACAAAAAAAGAAAGTGCCCTAATTGAACACTTAAGACTCTCTCTGAACACTTAAAGACGATGAATGAAATGGGTTGGGAACATGCAGGGACCCTGCTTGATCTCATCCATTAAATATAAAAACCCATGCACTTGCCTTCAACTAGTGTTTGACTCCGTCGCTCTCTCTTCGCAAGGACATGGCAATGGCTGTAGCAACTATTGGAAATATGTTACCATGTTATGTACGCACTTGGACCCTCTTGAACTTAATACTCCAACGACCTCAAATAATAGTATTAGTCCATATATATGCCTAGCTGGTCCCCTTTAGGTATGGTTCGGTATTTTGTTATTGTTAACATTAGTGTATTGCTCTCATTACTCAATCTCTTATATCACCGACTCATAAAGTTTCAGGTGTAATCATTTGCATATAGTTATGCATCATTCTCTCTCAGCACACGGTTAATCATGCATCAAATTAGTTATTGTCTACAATGGTGATATGAAAGTTTTTCTCCCAAAGCTCTCCCTCATTTTCATCATTACAACGCCAATAATATATATATATATATATATATATATATATATATTTTTTTTTTTTTGTCAAAAAATGCCATAATATTTAGGGTTTCGGGTTTCTAGATCTCTAGCTTGTTAAGGATATTGAAGGATCACCTACTAACCATGAGCACAATGCATCATAATAGTACTCAGATACTTAGCTTAATTGTTAAGTTTTGGTTGGTTAGAGTTAGTTGAGTAAGAATGCTTAGTCAGCATTATTGTGTATTTATGCATACATATGCATACACTATGTACCTTGAAATTGATTAATGAGAATCTTTCTTCAACAAACACTATCTATCTCTAGATATTCTCTCTCTAAATTCTCTCTAGAATCTTGATTTTTTTGCAGATCTTTAATCTTCAACATGGTATCCTTTGCCGCTGTCTAACGACTTCGATCGTTTGCTTTCCGTTTGCGTGCATTTTCTTGCTCTTTCATACTTCCCAAACAGCTCTTACCTATTTCTTCTCTGCAAATCGTCTGTTGATTCAATGGCGACAATTACGAATTCCTCTGATTCTCTTTCTCGTGCACCTTCTTCTGGCCCTAATTCTCATGGCGAGGTGTCTCATCCTCTAAACACTCCGATTGCATCAATTACTGTTCAACATTTCGCTGGAATGGTTCTGACTAAACTCAATCGTCAGAATTACATTACTTGGCGTAGTTTGTTCATTCATGTTCTGAAAAGCTTCAAGCTTCAAGCTTTTAGGGCTTATTAATGGCGAAGATCCTTGTCCACCGGAATTTGTTCGTGATCCTTCTAGTTCTCGAATTCTCAACCCAGCTTATGAAGTTTGGTGTGAACGCGATCAGATTCTGACAATTTGGATCAATTCTACACTTGCTCATGATCTTCTTCCGTTAATGATTGGGATGGTAGATTCACGATCTCTTTGGCAGTCTCTTGAGTGTCGTTTTGCTGGTGCTTCGGGCACTCATGTCTAGAGTCTTCGATCCAAGATCTAGACTATCCAAAAAGGTGACTTTTCATTGACCGACTATCTGAATTCCATCAAAGAAATCTTCGATAAATTGGCCGCTGCTAGTGAGCCGATCTCTGAGAATGATCTTGTTGCTTACATTCTTTCTGGCATGCCTGGTGAGTATGAATCATTTGTTGATTCAATTGAGACGTGATCTGAAGATGTGAATGTTAATGAACTTCACGATTTTCTCCTCAGTAAAGAAATTTCTTTCCAGAAACATAAGACTTGATCCTCTTCCTCCTCATCCTCCACACATTTTCATGCTTATACAGCATAACAAAATCCTTCTGGTTCCAATTCTTTTCGAGGAAATTTTAGAGAAAAGTTTCAGAATTGCAATCAATCTAAT